GGAGCAAAACCCCCAAAGAGGACCCAGAACTCGCCGGAATCTGATTCTGTATCTAGTTTTCCATCATCTGTTACGCAAGGAAATTTTTACACATGCATGAGTACCACAGTCTGTGTATAGATAAGTTTTTCAAATATCTAATTGAGCATCCAACTGCTGCTTGATTGACTGAGAAAAAAGTGAAGAAGAAGATATTCTAATATCAACTGTAAATGCGTTTAATACAACTTACCAACAATAGCAACGTCACAACTTCCTTCATGAAACTTGTCTTTTAAATATTGAACAACTACCAACGCTTTAGCTCTCTCTTGGATATTTGAATTCGCCCCATTAAACTGATAAATCTTTTCCTTGGTGTCCAAGATAAACACATCATCATGATTCAGTGATGAGCGAGCAAAAGGAACCTACACAAGAATACAGATAAGCTCGCAAATGCTCATGCAAAGAGAGTGCAACACTTCCAAAGATCTGCAGAAAAAGAAACCTGCTTCAAGTGGACGGCACGTTTCCCTTTGCAAGTATACAACCGGGTTTCAAACTCCTCCTCCTCGACTTTTTTAAATCCAGACGCAACACCACCCTCAAGCGGTATGATGCAAGGCTTGAAATAAGATAAGAATTTGTCAGATTCATGACCTTGAATTTCTCGATATTGGACAGCTCGGCCTCCAAGTGCTGCATCAAGTTCAACTGTCTTGACAGCAGCTGTTCCAGCTTCATCCTGGACTCATCATCACAGATTAGTAATAACAACGAATCAGTTTTGATTGTCTACCAAAATACACAAAGTTAGAACATGATATATGCTATCATGCCAAATAACTCCGAAAAATAGATACCTGGCTTGTATCTTTACCAATCCAAAAATGTATATCAAATAGATAAGCACCCCCCTTATTCTGTGTTGTCTGCACAGATGAAAGATAAACATGCTCAATGTGAAAGATAAAAAGAAGCATATTTATTATACATATGATCAGACAAGAAAACATGTTCTTCTGTTCTGTAAGCTAATATCTTGGGCATTATCTTATAACCTGTATCTTGATGAGCATATACAAAGAGGGGGAAATAACAGTAGAAGAAATCCCAAACCTGCAAGACAATGTAAGTATCTCCCATATAGAACTTTCCATGTTCAGACTTCGGCACTAGAACTGGCTCAAAATTTTCGATTCTCCAAATTTCAGTACCTCTAAGAAATGTTAAGTTCAACACTTTGGACAGCAGTAAAACATTTAACAATACCAAGAAAAATAGTGCATACAAAAGCGACACCCGCAAGAAATTGCCTTTTCTTCTCTGCGTTTCCATTCATCAGCAGGAAACAATTATATTGCTTACCAGCTATCCAATATTTAAGCAAAGCGGAAAGTAAAGATTGTGAAAGGATACGGTTTCTGCCCAGCTCCTTGAAATGCAGGATCCAATACTTTTGTTGACCCAGACATTTTAAATGTAATGGTCAATTTCTTCTTTTAAGTGAAAATTCATAAACTACCTGCCAAGAACGTAGAACAAGCGGAAGAAATAGGTAAGAGATTGTTTGAGCTATTTATGAGCTCAACAAAAATCATGCAAAGAATACACAATTCCCTCCCACAAGTCATTATTGTCTGGCTACCATTCAAGAATTGTTGATGAATTTGAAAACGGATATTACAAAAGTCAACAGAGTCACTCTTTGGATTCTTCATTTGCAAACAAAATATAGTTGTGGCATTACACAATTCCTTACTACAGCACAAAATCCACTCAACATTTAGGCCTCAGGAAGCCTCAATGACAAGTGATCAATGGTAAATAATTAATATGATGGCTTATTGAAGATCATACTTAAGAAAAACTTATAATGCATTTCCCAGTTTTCATTATGTAAATGGCTCAGAACATTGCTCCTTAGTAAGAAAGATGGAACAGAAGAGAAAAATTATCATCCCAAAACCTATTCAGAGAAACTCGGAAAAAACATCAGGATAAAACACACTAGTCCAGGCTTCCTCAGAGGAAAGTAATTCAGGGGTTCTGAACTCAGAGTTTTATGTCGTGCTAAAGATCTGTTGTGAACGATACATCTCTGAACACGAGGAGCAGAGGGAATGGAGTGAACTCTTATAAAATTAGCCTCAACAAAAGTATTGAATCAAACCTTCCTTGTGCAATACAGTAGCAAGCCTCTAAAAGTGTTTTACACCTAACCTAACGTTTGGGGATCTCTATAGTGATCACAATCCACTAGCTTCACAAGAAAACTCAAAGTAATATTTACACACTCACAGATACTCTAAAAGAACCCACCTCTTATTTTGGTTTCAAGATCACACTCAATATCCAGTATTGCCTTAGCCTACTTTGTTCTTCTTCTTTCTTAACAACTATGGCTTCTATAAAGCCTTAATTTCGATTAAAAAAAAAAACCCATAAATTAAGCAATTTTTCAGGAATTAATCAGAGATGATACAGAACTGAGAAATGAGAATGCACGACCACATACTTAGATAACCAAAATGAAAAATTAAAACAGAGATCAAACACGAAGCAGATTGAGAGAAACTCCAATTCAAAGTAAAAAAACACAACAATGGAAAAGATATAAAAACTAATTGAATTTGAAATCAGCTAAATCCATACAAACCCATCATACCTGAAACGACAGATCTCCGAGTAGCAGAACTGTGAAGAAGAAAGAGATGGCAAA